CTAATCCAGATCCTTTATCAAACGGATAATGTAGCAACTTTTCTTGAGATAACTTTTCAAATTTTTCTTTTAATTTTACTTTAAATTCAAATTTAAATTTAAATTTAAATGAAAAGAAACTATTGCATTGATTTGGTTTTATTTTGTTTTTCATATATATATATATATATATATATATATATATATATATATATATATATATATATATATATATTATATATATATATATATATGTATATACTTGACAACGAGGGTAGCTATAATCCCTTGAAAAACTGTATGAAAATTAATTTCAAATAAAGAGTTACATCCATAATAGAAGTTTTATTTTATTCATGTTTTAAACTCATTAATAATATCTTTTAAAATTTTCATTATTGAATTTATTTTACAGTTTTAGCATTTTTTGCTCTGCTGTGCAAGCATTGACCCTAACCCTAACCCTATCTCTTGCTCTGCTATGCAAGCCTTACGGGAATCGTGTAAAGTAGGTCTGACGCTTACACTTAAAGGCACTAACATAATGACGTGTAAAAGATACTCAATGATTATTCAACTTTAAATTTGATGCTTTTTATTCAGTGGGACAAATACAACAATTTTTTGAAGTTGGTTTGTATAATGGTGTATTAAGTAGCTTAAATATACAAAACAAAAACTTGAGCAATACTAAGAAGATCAGCAGAACCGAATTAATCATTTGTTAGTCTAAAATACAAGAGATTTTTTTATATATTTAATTTATACATATATTATTTATAACATTGTTATTGGCATTGTTAGTCAAATTGGTTGTTATACAAACTGCAGCATGGTGTACCTTTTAAAAATAATGCGAGAAAAAAGAAAGCTATTTTAAACTTCTTATGTTCTTCTTGCACAGTTTGTGAATTGAGCTACTACACCTCTATAAGTAAAACCTTATTATAATAAGGTAATCCTGTAGCCATTGCTATTGACATTAACTAAGAATTATGATTGGATTTTTTAAAAAAGACAGAAGTATTTCAGCAATTATTTTTTGCCTTATAAATATGATTGGACCAATAAACTCAGCAGCTTTATACTACTCGTAATGAAATCGCTAAAATTAATGTATATGTTCCTGATGCATCTATGAAAAAGCAGCATTTAAAATAAATTATATAACTGCGACTTTTATAGCATCCTACATCAGATCACAACCAAACATCTGCAAACTTCTGTAATCTAAATCAGCTGTATTAGGTGATGTATCATGGAAAAAAAGTGGTTTTTCATTGCATAAAAGAATTATATCTCTTACTTCAGTCAAGTTATGTAAATGCATTGAATATCCTGTAAACACAGGTTAGTACTGTACAATGTGGGCTGTTTATAGGAATAAAAAAATGCTATTATTTTCCTAAAAACCAATAAAGGTTAAAGAATATATTTGAGGAATGGAAAAAATTACCCTGTAAGAAACTAAAAAAAGAAAAAAATAAGGTTTAAAGACAAGTCTAGTGACATTTTTTCTTGTTCTAGTGGATTTAGTTCGGTTTATTGAGTAAATTATATTATAAAAATCTTTAAACACTTCTTTTGAAAATCGGTATTTTTTAACCCGTGTGGTTCATAACTTTTAAAATAATTATCATAATTGATTGAAAATATCAGGAAGTGTTCATTTTCATATAAAAGGTGTCTAGAATTTATATTTTATTTAGAATATATAACATGATTACACTTATATAGAACAAAATTAGGCTTTAATAGCAGAAGACCACCTTAATCTATACCGTAATACAAAGTAATAAAAATATGGAAATCGTAAAACTAAAGAAAAAAAAAGTTTTTTACAAAGAAAAAGATAAAATTTGTCATACCTGATAGTCTTAGTTAGACTATGATAACTTCGAAAAACTTTTTTTTTTTAATATAACAGGTAATGTAAAGGTAAATGAAAACAATTATTTTCCAAGGCAACACAAATAATACAAAAAGATGAAAATACCATAGCAAAAAATTAAGTAAAGCAAAGATACGTATTTATAAAAGCCATGCACGCAAATACATAATTGTGAAACTTTCTTTTCAAACTAGTATATACCTTGAAATATTTGGAGTACATGATACATTTTTAATAAAACATAAACTTTTCATGAAAGAAAAATCGAAGAAGCAACAATAGGCATAATTCATGGTTGACACGTTTTTTCGACAACATGGTGGACTTAATAAACTGTAGGATTTGAATTTTAAAAAAGCTAAAACTTTTGTTTTACTTTTGGTTTACTCTTCATACTTTTGTATATGATGAAGAAAGTTGCATTTGAATACAGACCCAGGGAGTCTCAAAAAATTTTAAAAGTTATTACACTCTCCTACCCCCTTCCGTTTATTAAACAGGCGTTTATTACCCAACATAAAAAAAAAATTTAAATGGTACTTAATTTAAGCCCCCATCTGAGTGAGAGGCACCCCGGTAGTGTCCGAGTAGCCCGTGCCATTAAGACAGAACTGAAAACAATTTACTTTTAAAGTAATTGTTTATTCTAAATTTTCTAAATTTAGAAAGCGAACAACTTGCATAATTCATTTTAAAAACACAATTTGTGCAATTCTTTTTGGATAAGTAAAAACATTTCCAACACTTCCAACATTTTCATTCTTCTAAAATTATTTCTGCACAAAGCAACGCTTCAAATGCTTATAACTCACTGCGCAAAATATTTACCCCCAATTCAAATCAAACCGACATCTAAACAAACCAAGCCCTAATTGTGTTCTGTTAAAACAACATCACGAGGTTGCTTTATTAAGACACAGTGTTAGTAGACATGTTAGCGTGTTGAAGCAAACTGACACTTTTTTTTACAGCGTATTTAAGTTATGAAAATTTAGAAATAAGGAAACTTCGTTTCTCTATTTGTAAAAAACGTCGGAAAAAGAATAATCAAGAAGTTAGAGAAACAAAAAATTTGAATTCCACAAGAAACATAAAAGTTGTTAATATAACAAGAATAGAACTTTGAACTAATAATGAAATTAAAAAAACGAAGCGAAAGGTCAGAAAAATCAAAATTTATGTAAACAACAATTAAACCAATGTGAATAATATTCAAAAAGATTTGGGCGATGTTGAAACAACGCTAAACTTTCAAGAAACAATACAAAATTAAAACAATATAATATATTATAATACAAATTAAAAAGTGTAATGAAAACGAGAAAAACACTTTAAGCAAAAAAAAAAAAAACAACAGAAAATGGATCTTAAGGGAATAGTTTACAAATAGATGAAATAGTAAAAAAATCTGGAGGAAACCTGGGTTGAATGTGAAAATACAGTTAAGGATTTTTAAAAACCAACTTAAAAAAAAAGAAGTTGTTGCGGAAAGAAAATATAGAGTTGGAAAAACAAAAGATGTTAAAATACCTAGAACAATAGTTCTATAACTTTTAAATTCTAATCGCAGTGAAAAAATTTAGGGGAAATTGTGTGTTTATTAACGAAGATTTCCCCATAATAACTATAAAGAGTCACAAGAAATTTATAAAAGAGGTTAAAAGACGAGCGGCGAGTAGTCGTTTTTGTATCTTGGGTGTGTTTTAAGAAAAATAAAATATCATTAATAGATAATGATGCAATATTTAATTTAACTTTCAAAATCGAAACAAAATTTTTTATATGTACGGTTAAGGTACAATTTAGAAGAAGAATCGAGATTCATAGTTCAAATCGAGATTCATAGTCCTTGTAGGTTATCCTCAAAGCTCTCCTCCGGATTTGATTTACTCGCTAATTTATTTAATGTTATAAATGCAGAAAGTATCATTTTCTATAAATTAAAAAATTTATAAAACGAGGTTCACAAAGAATTCACATGCTCAGCTAGGAAAAGTTTGTTATTGATTTATATTCCAAGTAGTTTATCATTTTCGAATGTTTTATTTGTTAAATTAGAAAATGGGACTTCTAAGTTATTTTGTTTGCTAACAAAAAGTTTATATTTCGCTTTCATTCCATTGTTTTCAGACCATACTAACAATTGATTTGCGGTCTTTTGGAGGTCGTTAATTACAGAAGTAACACCTTTTTTTCTGCAATGTTGGTGCTGTCATCTGCAATGTTGTCATCTGTATATCCAGCAAATTAAATGTTGCAAAGAAAAATAAATAAACCACGTATAAAATTTTAAATAACAATGTATCAAAAACTGAACCTTGTAAAACTCCATATAACATATCCGCGTAACAACTAAATTCTTCATTTATTCATACTCTTTGTTTTCTACTTATTAGATAGACCGACATAAACATTATAGAACCTATAAGCATTTCCTATGCCGCTCTTTCGAATTGCTTAACTTCTTCAGTGGATAAATTTCATGTTAAAAGCAATTATGTGAAACTACTCCAATCCATAAGTTTAGTAAAAAACTTCTGGATACCAGCGTCACAAAAAAAGTCTAAAGAAATATTTCCTTTAGTGACAGCATTCAATAGAAATCTCAATTGTCAACCTTTAATATCAGAAACTAACCTTTTTCTCAAAGTATCTCAGAATGAAAGGGTCAAAAATGTTTTTTCTAATATTCATCCGGTATTAGCTTTTAAACAACCTCCTAACTTATTAAGAAAACTTTCTTTTGTAGTTTTGTTTTTAACTATATATATATATATATATATATATATATATATATATATATATATATATATATATATATATATATATATATGTATATATATATATATATATATATATATATATATATATATATATATATATATATATATATATATAATAACATTATTAAATTTTTCAGAACCTTTGTGGAAAGTTAATAGTAGTGTATATAGTTAAAAGTAGTGTATATATATATATATATATATATATATATATATATATATATATATATATATATATATATATATATATATATATATATATATATATATATATATATATATATATATATATATATATATATATATATATATATATATATATATATAATAACATTACAAAATTTTTCAGAACCTTTGTGGAAAGTTAACAGTAGTGTTTTTATGCTTGGGTATGTTTATATTTTATTTTATTTTTGTAAACTAAAAACTATAAATAACTTGTTTTGCTTATAATCTGAAAATGTTACATAAAGCAATAATATCAAAATATAGTTAACTTATTTTAAAATCTAAGAATCAACAATATATTTGTTTACCTTTTTAAATCATTTAATATTATAATAGTAATAATAATAATAACGGTAATAATAGTAATCATCCTTCTGTTGATTGTAACAAGTAAATATAGTTAACTAATAAAAATTTATACTAAAAAAAATTTTAGAAGAAGAGTTGTTAGAAGAAGAATTGTTACTAATATAAATAATGTATAAGTGAAATATCACCTTTATATATGTAATATTATAATAATGTATTTGTGAAATAACACCTAAATAACCATCCTTTTCAATCTTTCGTTTATTGTTATCAAACATCATGATATTTTAATTGAGATATTTTAAATAAGCACATAGACATTGAATAAAGTAATCATTCAAAGTATCATATTTTAATGATAATAACATAAAAATAAAATTTTGTAAAGTTTATTATAATTACTGTGGTAATCATAATTATAAAAAACAAGAGTGTATTTCAAAAAATACGTCTAGATATTAGAACAATTTTTCATGAAAGAATTTTATCCACAATAATACCTAAAAATAAGTATAAAATACTTTTTATGTTCATTTTATCAATAAAAAGTGGCGGCATTTTCACATGCTCTATACCACCTGAATGAAAAAGAACCCATGTTTTTTCAATTTTAAGTGAAAATTTTATTCGATTTAAACCAGTTGGATATTTTCTTTGATTCAACATTCATGTCATAAAATAAGTTGTTGAAGTTATCACAGGATACGAAATGGTTACTATCTTCAGCATTTATTATTGCCATTATATTAGAGGTTTTATAAAGGTCATTAATATAAGTTATAAAAAACAGTGGGCCAAGTAGGTAACCGGAGGAACTCAACACGATATATCTAAGGCAGTAGTTGTTGAGTGTGTATCAATATGAATAAATTGCTTACTATTATTTAAATAACTTTTAAATAACCTTTAGGAATTTACCGATAATAATGTTATCTTCTAGTTTATTACTGAGAATGCGTATTGATCATAGGTCTTTAAAAATGCCTAAAGTAAATTTTGATTTTTCAAAGAAATCATTAATAACTCTTTTTAGTTAAAGTCAGAGTTATGGTTAGGGTAACTAACCCTAACCCTGCGTGTTATGTTGAGTTATTTTTTTTTAAATCCGTATTGTTTGTTGTTGAGTATATTATTTTCAGAGAGATAATGAAAAATTCCATTAAATAAAATTTTTTGTAGAATTTTGGAAAAAACTGATAAAATGAAATTGGATGATAATTGCCAACATTTGCTAGTTTACCACCTTTGTGTATAGGGGTCATTTTGCAGCCTTCACATGGTACGGCAAAAACTCCTGGATTTATTGGGCAACTTAGAACTTTAAATTAATTATTCTTTATAATCTTGTAATACTTATTAACAATGTTCCCATTTAATTGAAATGGACAGATTCATCAGCAGACATTTAACTCATCTGAACAGATTCATCTGCAGACATTTAAGATTAGATCCAATAGAAAAAAAAAAATTATTTAATTCACTTATATATATTATTTATTGCTATTTATTTATGATCATTTATAATTTAATCATTTAAAAGGCAAAGAACACAATTTTAAATTTTGTTTGCCCATAATTTTACTTAAAGTTTGTCAAGTTCGTTTTAAATTAAGTTTATGTTTCTCTAGCAAATTTGAATTTTTATTTTATTTGCATTTTTGTTTTTACTTTCAAATTGTTTGACATAGCTTTTCTTTAATAGTTTTTTTCCAATTGTTTTGGTCTTTAAGTATTTTATATATAGTTTTTCCTTATTTTTTGAGTTTCTAAGGTTTCTTTTATATCTACGGTGTTTAAAGACTTTTATTTTTATTTATTTTTGGAAAATTTGCGTCAAAGATATTATAAGACGTTTTGTAAAATGTGTCATAGACTACATTTACTTCTAATCTAAAGTTGATATTTTTCTATTTCAGTAATGATAGTTGATTCATAAATGATTCGATATTTTATTCGTTCAAATAAAAAAAATTGTTTTTGTTTTTGTTTATTTCTTGTTTTGGTAAACAACAAGAAATAGGGAAATGATCAGAAATGTCATTTTTTGTTATACCTATTTTAAGCAATTTATTAATTGCCTAAAATAGATTATAATTGCTGTTATAATTATTGATATTCTTTTTTTTTTAATAATAACTATTACTACCTATCATTTAAAAATATTTATTATCTTGCTTACTTGATATGTGGCTCCAAACCTTGACTTAACCTCATACATATCAACAAAATTATATCGTTTGCTTGTAACGATATCTTTTTTAATCGTATGACTTTATTAGTTTTATCTAAAACAATTATATTAACAAAACTACTATATGTAGCTATAATTTCTGCTTAGGTCGTTATATAACGACAGATCTATAGCTAGTTGACAGCTGAAGGTAAATATTGAGCTACAGATAATTGATAATTGATTGCAGTATAGTTAGAGTAACTTAGCTATTAAATTTAGCTAGATAAAAGCTTCAAGTAGCTTAATAGCAAGTAGATACAAGTAGCTATTTGAATATTGAATTGAAAACACTAACTATTATGCTACTATGCTGTCATCAATGAGCTATACTTCTTTTTTTAAATAACTTACGAAGCTCAAAAGCCGCAGAATGCAGCTGTTTGCATATCTTAGAAAAATTGCTATCTAGAATGTTGCCGTTGACCCAATTTAACCTTTTTAAATCTTTTTTTCTGTTCCGTAAAACTATATATGTTTCAAACATTTTATTTGTGTCTAGTTTTCAAATATCAATAAATTATTTATTTTTTTAGGTATGAAACGACGTTAAATTTACAGATATACCCAACTTTTTTGAAACCATCAGCTGTTAATTTAGAATTTGAATATTTTTTGCCATATTTTTTTACAATTTCATCTGAAAATTATATTCAAGGTTTTTCAAAGACTCAAACTAATAGAATGAAGTATTCCGTAAGTTTAATATGCTGTAATTGTAATTGGTAGTATTCTAAATTTAAACTTTTATTACAAAATTTATTTACAAAATTATTAACAGAGTATATTTAATGTAGTAATAAAAGTAGGAAATGAAGTTGATATTTCGGCTTCAGCTTTAAGATGATCAACTTAAAGCCAATGCTAAAGTTTATCGGATCAATTTAATCAGCTTAAGAGCTTATAGTATAACTTTATACAAAAGGTAACAGTTAGTTACCTTGTAAATCCTCCACAATCTTTAATACTCTCTCTAAAACAGAGTGTTTGAGGCAGCCAAAAATTAACTGTAAAACAGAGTGTTAGGAGGCAGCCGAACATTAACTGTAAAGCAGAGTGTTAGAGGCAGCCGAAGATTAACGTTTTGTAAAGTTCTATTTGCACAATCATTAACGTTTGTAGAACTCTAATTCCCTTGGAAATTGTTTAAAGTAGATAATAGTTATAAATTTATGTTTTTTATAATATAAGTATTCATCAATAATTTGTATAAAATATGGCTCCGCATACCCTGGCAAATGGCTTTGGTCCAAAATTACTAACAAGGCGTTTTTTAAAATATTTTATCTCAGTTAAAACTTTTTATATAAAAATATATTTTGTACTCTAAGTTCATTTTTGGCGCTCTTTATAACGCTTGCGTCCCGGCCCAAAATCCTGTAGACCCTTTTCTAAGCTACTAGCGGCATGTATGATAGCGTATGGCTAATAATATTTTGTTTGAGCTTACTTAACTGTATATAGAAATTAAGATTCATATATATATATATATATATATATATATATATATATATATATATATATATATATATATATATATATATATATATATATATATATATATATATATATATATATATATATATATATATATATATATATATATATATATATATATATATATATATATATATATATATTATGTATATACATATATATTTAAATATATATATATATATATATATATATATATATATATATATATATATATATATATATATATATATATATATATATATATATATATATATATATATATATATATATATATATATATATATATATATATAGTTTAGTGGGGTGTTCAAGTCTTTGGACTCATTTAATTACACTTTTACTGCTGTTTTTAATCACACGTTGTGTCCAATCGGTGGTATGTTTACATTAGAAATCCCTTTTGTGTTTTCATATCAAGTTGAAACAGAAAAGCCCGGTAAAATAACACAGACATTTCAAAAACATGTCGAATGTTTTAACTATCCAAAAACTTCTTTCGCTTCAGTTCTCCAATTTTTTGCAGGTAACTTTTTTTTAAATTGTTTATAATTAAATTGTTTAACGCTAATAAGGTTTTAGTCACATGAATCTAGGTTTAGGAAAAACTGAAAAATCTTATTTCTTCAAATTGAGGTGGTTTTAATCTTCTATTGAACGTCTAAAGATTATAGATAAAATACAAAATATTTTAATGAATTCAAATTTAGAATAAGATACGTGATTTAACTATAAACATAACTAGGTTTTGATTTATTAAAATTTCTGGAAGAGACGATCTAAAACATTTTTTTTGAGTATGTACATTTTTATAACTTTAGAAAGTTATGCAAGAGAATTTTGTTGGGATCCAGTTAACTCTTATATTTATTTATGTATGAATCAATATTATCGAAGGTATGATTATTTTTTACTTTTTTGTTTTAGTAGCTTTGCTCTAACTGAATTTTTAATTATAGTTTAATTTTACCACTGAAAATGAAATTTAATTATCAAAACTTTTTTTAGGATAAATTTGCATTAGGGAAATTCACAACGTCCAGTTTTAGCAATTGACTTTTTTCATAGGGCAGAAAATGAACCAAATAGCGGCTTTTTTCAGTTAATTATAAGACATTTTGTTGTTTTAGTTTTTTTAAACGACTTTAATATTCGAATATTGGATACTTTTTTTTGAAATAATTAGTGTTTCAAAGATATTAACATTGTAAAATGGGTTTGTTCTTCATCTTTATGTTGAAATAATGTTGATACAAAAAAAGGAGATAGGACTTGAATAAAGTATTACTAAATAATACTTTGCTTTTGTTCAATCTACTTAAATTCCATAAATCGTACGAACGGATACATTGTTTATGAAGATTGCATTTTAAGAAAAAGTTCTAGTTAATTTATTTCTTTAAGTGAAGTTAGCCCACGGTCTTAGTATGTTACTTATAAAGTTTAATACATAAATATGTTAAATACAGTATGTTATTTATAAAGTTTAATGCAAGTGTTAAATTGGATTCAAACAGATTAAATAGCCAACACTTTCCAATAGTTAAAAATGAAAACAATTTAAAGTAAAACGATATTTTGTTAACCATCAAAATCTTCAAGATACTAATCCGATTATTTTCTATAATTTCAAAAGTTTCCTACTTTAAAAGTAATTTCAAAATATATTATCTTAATATAATAGATGATAATTTTTTTATTTTAATTATAAAACAATACACCATTAAATAATAAAAGAAGAAACATTAATTTACATTAGAAATGTAAATTAATTACATTTAGACTTACATTTCTAATTTACATTAGAAATGTAAGTCTAAAATTAAAAGTAAAAGTTTTTTCAAAAATTTCAAAAACAATAGTTAGTAGTAAAACAAATCTTTACAAAAAAGTTATCAAAACCTAATTCATTATTCATCAAAAATAAAATACTTTTTACCAATTGGCAAGTGCAATATTTTATTTAATACTTCTAGTGCATATTTATTATTGTGTATTAAAATTGTAAAGGCACTGGTAATTCAGCTTTAGAAAAAAAAAAAAAAATTTTTTTAATAATCTGACTTCATGCTTTGCTAGTTATGGCTTATATTTTCTCAATTCCCAAAAGCAAATTAAATTTTTCTGAGTTGAATAGTTAGCTCTTTTAGCATAAAATATTTGTCAACAATGGTCATTGTCTAACTGATATGTATAAGACTGTTTACAACTTAAAAACTGCAAATTTTAATTTTAGCACACTTGATTTTTCTCATTACATTCATAACAAAAGCATTATGCTATTTCATGCATTATGGTATTTATGCACATAAACGTTGTTTCTTTTCAGCAATATATAAATATCTATATTAATCAATACCAGATACTAAAAACGGCGCATTACGTTAAGATTTCAAACTTTTTTCCGTATACGTCTAACAGTGATTTTAACTCCAGTTATTTAGGATTCTTTTGTTTAACTAATTATTTAATTTTTGCCTAATTTTTTTATAATCTATATGTTCAATAGAATCAGCAGTGCATATTTTTTCAGGGTTAATATTTTTTCTGTTAAAATTCTTTGTATTTATCGCTGAATATCTTCGTGAAGAGATTGTAAAGGTAGAAACATTTTTTCTTTGCTTGAACACATTCTTTGTAATTATTTATATAATAGTTTTAACATAATTTTTTTTTGTAGATTTTGCAGCTACAAAATCAACAAAAAAAATATTGAAATACCATGGCACTATAAGTACTATAGTTATATAACACTAATATAATACTATAAAAAGTTATATAATAATACTATAGCAAAACTGCTATAGCAATATAGTTTTGTTTTAGGAAATACGTATTACAGGTAGGTGGACCTTAAAATGCAGTCGTACATCAGAAGGTCAGGTTTTAAATTAACCAATATTGAACATTTTTTTTTATTATTTTACTGATCGCACTGAATAATCTAAATTTTTTTTTTTTTTTTTTTGTAATATATTTATTTCGTCGCTGAGTAATTGCAATACCAAAGAACATGAATAAAAATAAAACATGACGGGGACAAAAAGAAGACTGTAGTTGTCTTATTACTAAACCTCGTGATAAATACATCGTAAGTTACAATGCTTATAAAAACCATTTTTTTTAACGTTAAAGTTTACTAAAAATATATTTTAAATAGGGAATAAAATAACAAAACAAAAAAAAGACCAGTAAAAAAAGAAGAAAAAACAAACTAAAAAGACAAAACAAAAAAAAATAATAATAAACAAAAAACAAAACAAAAAAAAAACAGTAATATTATTCATCATATTTATGAATCTGAATAAATAATCTTAGTAATAAACAATTATTAAAATTAAATTGTTAAACATAATTGCTATACTGAAAATTGTTAATAATAGTACTCTCATTTAAACGCTTTAGAAGAAATTTAGCTCATTGTCGTTTAGTAAAAGATTTTGCTGAAGTTTAGTTTTAAATTGATTAAGTAAAGAAAGTGTTTTAATATTATTATTTAAAAGTGTTTTCCATAACTTAGGACCTTGGTTTGTGATTGAGTATTTAGTGGCAGAATAATAGGTTTGGATGAGTATAGTTATTATTTGAAAATCTTGTGCTGTATATATGATTTATTTTTTTAAATAAAAAGTTGAATAAAAGTGGTGTCATTTTTATATCAAGTTTAAACATAAACATAAGAATATGATAGAGATTTAATTTAAAAACATTAAGAATATTAAGTTTGCTAAAAAGTATTTTTGTATGAGAGAAGCGATTTTCATTTGTAATAATCCTAATGGCATGTTTTTGTTTGCCGAGAAGTTTACTTAGTTTTGTAATATTGGCGCTGCACCAAGCAATGTTAGCATAGTTTAGGTAACAGGGTATAAATAAATAGTATATGTATTTAAGTCAAGATTGGTTTAAGAACTGTTTAGCTTTATACAATATACCAATATTTTTAGAAATTTTATTCTCAATTACACCTATATGTTCTCTCCACGTAATATTTTCATTGAGAATTACGCCTAAAGGTTTTAGAGACAATTCCCCTTTTTATTATATTTTTATCAATAAAAAGGTTTGGAAGTTTCAATGGAATATTTTCTTTTTCATAAACACGATGGAATAATGTGTGTTTGGTTTTAGCAATGTTTAAGGATAATTTATCGGATTTAAACCATTGGGTTAGTTTATCAAGTTCTTTGATAACTGTTAAGAATAAAATATTAATGTCTTCATGAGAACAAAATAAATTAGTGTCATCGGCAAACAAAATTGTGTTTAAAATATTAGAAAATTTATACAAGTCATTGACATAAATTAGAAACTAAAGGGACACTAAAATTGATCCCTGGGGATCACCGCATATGTTGATTATATTATCTGTTATAGCACCATCGTAAGAAATTTATTGCTTCCTATTAGACAAGTAACTATTAAACCAAGCCAAGATTGTATAAAGAATGTAATGTTAAATCATAAAGATAAAAAATATTACATATAATCCTTAAAAAACATTTAAAAATTAACAAAACCTTTGAAAAGGTTTACTAGCCATTAACACTACTTTTTTAAATAATTTTAAGTTTTTCAAACCATTTTGAAAATAAGTTACAGAAACATTGTACGGAGGGCTTATCGGATAAGTTGTAGTCATTGAACTTTGATGTATCTGGCTTCGTTCCCGAGGCTTGTTTTAGTCAAGCATTTGGGAAATATTGCGGGTTCGATTCCCGGCTTGGGACAAAAACGTTTTCGATAAAGTCGAAAACGGCGAGCCAATCTATTAAATGCTATGCTACATGTGGCGGTGCTCTGTAATAATAGTGTTAGGACTTCTTAAAGCACTATAATAATAATTTCAATAAAAGTTTGCAGTGCTTTATCAGAAATATTGTTCCACGTCTCCAAAAACAATACTAAAAAGATGCGTGTGCAGAATAAAAACATATTTTTCTAAATCCCAATTTAAACTACCTAGCATTTTGATGCGCTTTACCAAACGTTTTAAAGTAGTAATTCAAAAAACTAAAAAACAAACTTAATGAATTACTTTGAGGTTTTTATTCTAAAACAAAAACAACATAAAAAACTTTAGTGGACAAAAAATAATAAAAAAGAAAAATATAATAAAAATAAGCCAAAACCAAAAAATTCTTTTTAAAATTTTTAATGAAGAATAATCTAAAGTAAATGAATGGTTTATAAGTAACCGCTTTTCACTAAATGTAAATAAAACTAAATTCATCCTGTTTCATAAACAAAATAAAGTTGATAATATTCCACTTAAACTGCAAAATCTTTTATTCAATAAAACAGATGTAAAAAGGGAATCTATTGTTAACTTTTTAAGCGTTATTCTTGATGAAAACTTGTCATGGAAGTTTCACATCCAATCTATTGAAAGTAAAAATTCTTATTATATTTCCGTACTTTATAAAACAAAACCATTTTTAAACGCAAAAGCTCTAATGAAAATTTATTTTTCATTTATTCACAACTATCTTTCTTTCTGCAACATTGCATGGGAAAGTACGAATTACGGAAAACTCAAAAAACTTTATTGTAAACAAAAGCATGCTTGTAGGATTGAATTTAGGGCAAACAGAGCTGTTTATTGCAAACCGCTAATAAATCGTCTCAAGGCCTTAAACATTTATAAAATAAACATTTACCAGACATTACTTTTCATGTTTAAAATAAAACAATCTGTTCCGAGAATTAGTTTAAAAATAAATTGTTATCGAATTCAATATCGAGGACCTTTTTTTTATGGAAAAATTTTATTCAAAACTTTATTAAAGAACATTATTCTTAAGAAAAATTTGTATATTTTATTCATATTTGTTTATAAACACGGGCAATTTGTAAACGGGGCTCGGTGATAAGACAGTCATTGTCCTCTTCTTGCT